CTATGACAATTTCATTTTCGTATCAGAAAAATGTCACTATCTGAGATAAAGATTGGATCGCAGTCCCACCATATTATTATGCGAAATAATATTTTCAGTTGCGTGAGTGACTAATAATGGCATCTCAAGAAAGCAGCTTTCCTAAATGAGCGACACAATAGAAACAATTTCTACTAATGACAAATTTTTAAGGAATTTGGCCATACTCTGAGCACCTCACGCAAGTGCAAGAATTGGTTAGCAATGGAGGATTTTTTGTGGTTGTAAAAAAATGATTAATCAACGACTCATTGAGATCAAACGAAGCAGTACTAAAATAAATAAAAAACTAACAATTTAAGTGAAAGCATTTCTTAAGTTAATAAGTCAGTTCCAATCGACAGAAAAAGCAATGCCCTACACTTCTTTATCTTGTATAAACTACTATAGGTTTTCGATCGCTACTTTGGATGAAACATTTAAATCCCAAAAGTACAACACTGAAGCTGCTTTGAATACGCTCCTGTATTAACAGCTTCAAACTAAAATAGGTAGGATAATCCCTGTCATAAAAGGTGGTGAAATTTATCTCTCAAGAGCTATTAAAGTCTTTCTTTTATAGCCTGAGATTCAAAGTTTCTTTTGTTGCCAAACTAAAAAAAATATATGTTTGGAATTAACTATGAAAACCAACCAAGCATCCAACTTTTCATTGTGATGCATTACAACCGTTCCCGCGTCGTTAACCACAGCAAAAACCATCTTCAAACACAGTTGTCGCTTTATAGACATTGGAAGGGACGCGAATGAAGACATATGTTGCATAAAATCCTACAAAGAGCTAGCGAGTCAATGTGGTCGGAAACCATTAGTCGGACTAATTGACCATGCCAGACGATCTGAGAGCTCACCAATAAAACAGCTAAATCCTCGCTATTTCGCTCGCCCGGCTCCTTTTCGAGGCATTCACGAACGGAGTCTTTGAGGTCTACGAAGCTTTCATGTGAGGGGCATGATCCATCGTCGTCTTCCTCCTCTGAATCCACTGCTCCTGCACTATTACTGGCATCATCGCCTTCGGTAGTTGTTGATGAAGCGGTGCTAGAATGACCAAATGTCTCATTTAAAACGGGGAAATTTCAAATTCATACAAATTTGGTCAAAAATGGCGTCCACCCACCTTCTAACGCGGAGACGTCGAGCAGTGCCATTACCAACGTGCCCAATTGAGTTGCTCTTCTCTCGACGATGTTTTACACGAACTAATGTATCCTCGTCAGACATTAAACCATTCAAATACACCTAAAAGCCTTGTCAGAGTTTTCAAGCAACTACTCAACCGTAGTAAACTTATCTGAAGTTGCAACTTGTACCTAATATTGTTTTTTCAAAGGATCAAAAAGGTAGGAAAAAGGCGAAAAAGCAAAAAAAA